AGCAGGTGGGTGTCTGTACAGTGTCTGAAGGAACCTTAATCATCTCAGACAACAGCATCTTCTCAGGCTCCCTTGTGAACACAAAAGATTAAAAAATAAAAGGAAAAAAGGTCAAATCAAGTTTCCCTTGTACTTCCATGAAGGTGAAGATCCAGGCTCATCAGGGCCCTTCTATTTCCTTTTTCCTATTTTGACTGAGATCTAGAATCAAAAGAGGAATTCCTCAACGGTCTCCCTAGCATTTCATGAAAGTATCTTCAGGGTAAGGCCGATATTCGCATGCTCTGTGCCCCACCGTGGTAGGTGGTCTCGCCCAGACTGAAATCTCACAAGCTTGTGGAAATCTAGTGTGGCTCTATATCTGGGGACCCCTAGGAGTGACAGGGTCCCAAAAAGGATGTCAGAAAATCAAGGCTAGAAGAGCAGTGGGGGCTGCAGAGGGTGCGGAGAGCACCTCCAGGCTGTTGTTCCTTCCACTGATAAGGAAAGAGCCCAGGGAAGAGGAGTGAGATGCCTCAGCTCCCTGGAGCACAGCTGCTGCCTGGACACCTGGTCTCCTGATCCCCCACCCCAGCTCCCAGCCCGCCTCCTGTGCGCCTGTCTATAGCTGAGAGGCTATGGTTTCTCAGTATTTACAATGTGTAAGTCATTTCCCACGAGTGAACCAGGGAATGCACATCTGTTCTCATCCCTGGCTCTGGCAGATTTGTGACCTTCTGCAGTGGACCCAGGAGGGTGTAAAACATTTTGGGCCAAAGGGTTCCCTCCCACCTGCAGCGGACACTTCCCTCCTGGCCACTTGGCACACGGGGGGCCTCTCGTTTCTCTCAGCCTGACGCTTTTCTGTGGCCATGAAAAGAATGCTTGGCCATCAGGTGGGCTGGAGTGACCCTCGATTCCTGGGAGATGCTGAGTTGGGGGGTAAATAGCTCAGCTTCTTCAGCCCTCAGAGGAAGAGTTCCAGGGGGAACTGCTTCCATCTTAGGTGGTCCCCGAAGGACAGAGCCCCCCGTCCCTCCGCAGATGGTTGTCTCATGAACACACCTGTGCTGACTCTTTCCTGCCTTCTGTCTCCCTTCCCCACTCACTCACTCGTGCTTCCTGGGATTGCCTCCCACATGGACCAGCTGCACCCCATTCCTCATCTCAGGACCTGCTTTAGGGAGACCCCAACTAGGCCCCCAAGAGTCTGAGGTGGCCGAGAAGTTAATGACCCTGCTGCTTGACAAGACAGAGCTCAACATAGCGTGGACCCTTCGTCACCCACTGAGCCCGGTGTGCAGCCCAGCGAAACATCCACCTCGGGCCCATGCCCAGGTGCAAGGGACACCTCACAGCACCCCGTCCTGTGGTCAGCCCCAGCCGTACCCAAGCACTCGACTCAGAGAAGCAGCTTGTCTATCACATGAAAAGAGCAATAATTCGATAAATTAATTGCAAGTTTGCTTTGCCTGTGCGGCTGCCTTTCCCCTTTTATGTGGATAATTGAGAGTATATTATGTTAATTTGACAATAACAGAAGTTCAAAAAGAAAACTTAACCTCGTGAGCAGGGAAATTACCATTACATGGGTGTGTCTGGTCAGCTCCACAGACAGCACCAGACACGATCCCCCGTGAGGCCAGCCGATGTCGGGGTGCACAAATGGATGTTTTTGTTTTATTTTTCTAGTGAAAGAGCTGTGCAGAGTTCCCCAACTTTAACCTTGAAAATGCACATTGTTTGCTCACGAGCCTGAGTCTGCTCAGGCAGAGACGATATTGCCAACACACTGCTGTGCATTTTGGGACGTGATTTAATCATCCTCAAGTTTCTCTGAGAAAAAGTAACGGTACTTATGCAGTGAGCGTCTCCCAAAGTTTAGACTCCTTGTTTTCACCCACCGGAATAACTCAACATCATCAAACCAGACATATTTCCAAACATGTGTAAAGAAGTGGATTTGAAGACTCTTCCTGCAAAGTGCCTGGTCTGTCCCATCTTAAGTCACAAATATCTCCTTGAAACGCTGCTGTGCATACAAGGGGTGTCTCTTACACAAGGGGCATCTCTTCTCCACTCCAGCCTGGTGAATCCATGTTATAGGGCTAAGTGCAGATCTAACAGCAGACCTTCGTGTTTGCCCCACCTCCAAGTCCAAATGGACAGGCCCCTTCTAATCCCAGGTGGGGATGGGTGGCAGCCTTGGGGGCAGGATTCTGTAGGAAGCAGTTTCCAGCCCTGGGGCAGGGCTGTGAGAGTGAGATGGCTCATTCCAGAGGGCCAGTCCTCCCAGCACCCGCCCTCCCCTGCAGGCTGCAGGCAGGATATTTCCAAGAACTCTCAGTTGGTGAGAAGGGGAAGGAAGTGGGTGGGAAGCAGGGGATGGTTGGAACCCTGAAATGAGAGGGGGGGGGGAGCAGGCTGGAGAATGAGAATCACAAATATCTCCTGGAAGCTTGAAAAGTTACGTCTGGGGAGTGACGCAGGAGCTACCCTCCGCCGTGGGAGTGGAAATGGTTCCGAGTCCTCCAGCTTGAGGCTCCGTTAGGGGAATTGGGCCCTCCAGGAAGGAAGGGAGAACGGCAGACTTCTGAACACAGGGCTCCGGGGAGCCTTTGCCGCTGTCAGAACGAGGGCCCAGGGTGATCTGCTCCCTTCTGCAGCTTCTTCCTTCCCTACTTTGAGCCCGGCCCCTCCAGCTGCATGGGGACCCCCTGAGCCCCCTCCTGGGCAGGTGCTGTGGTGTCTGTAAGGGCTTCAGGGAGTGTGCAAAGGGACTGTAAGTGACCAGCAATGCCAGGGACAACCTGCTGGACACAGGACCCTAGAAAAGGCTTAGATGAGTTCTCTCTCCACGTTCGCCTCACTTCCCTTTGGGGCCGTTCTCCAGACTCAAGGGATGCTGGAAATTAAGGCAAAACCCTCCCAGATTCCTTCTTTCTGTGCAAGCTCAGGCTATACGGTGAGGGGCAGAAACTAGCCCTGCTTGGGTGTGGCCATGTGCACCAGGGGCTGGAGGCCGGGGTCATTCACGTTACCTTTGCTAGCCTTTTAGGGACCTGTCACATTGTCCTTTGGAATCCACAGTATGTGTCCTCAGCTTCCTATGGGAAGAACTGGGCACCAGCTGTAGACTCTGGGCACTGGGAAAGCTGGCGGTTTTCTTAAAGGGGTTTTTCCATGTGGGGCGTTCATCACAGCTTCTCTGACGCAGAATCTCTCACTCTTAACCTCTTCTCTCAAATAAGAGACAATCTAATGCCGTACTGCGACTTCTGGGGTCAACAGTTTCAACCCGTCAAAAGGAGGCAGGCATCCTGTTGATAAGGCCAGGGTGGTCACTTACAACGGGCATTTCCGGGCTTCCATTCCATCCCCTTGCTATCCATGGAATACTTTCTTCACTGGGAGGCACGGGAAACAGACTTGGGGCTTCAGATTCTGTGCCGCTACCCCAAGGATCAATTAGACAGAGAGTGGGGAGGGACACAAAATGTGAATGTTTGTAAAACACACCCAAGCAAAGAAGCTTGGAAAAGCCGTTGGGATGGCAGGACTGTGAGCCCAGCTCACGGGCAGCAAAACCAAGCAACACACCCAAAAAGCAAAATCCTTCATTCCCGCGCACACCTCTCTCCCCCCACCAGGAGGCAAGGTGGGCGGAAGAACAGGCTAAAGCCTGTAGCAACAAACAGAGGCACAACCCCCAACGTCCCTGCAGAACAAAACCACCCCCAAACGCCACTAATCCCAAGCTCCTTCCAACAAAAACGACCCTTCACGAGATGACAAGAAAATGTTAAGGCTTGCTGCAGGGAGGCTGGGCAGCAGCTGCCTTTCCACATCTGGGACGAGTATGGTGGCCTGCACGCTCCCTGCCCAAGTCCCCCTAAACCAAGGTCACGTGTGTGGTTGTGTGGCCTAGACTCCAGCAAGTCCCTCGTAGGGAGAGATGGGCCCGTGTGGCCGGCCCTGCCCCCCACCCCTGTCGACCCACCCAAACTGGGAGGGCCCTTGAATTCTCTCCTATAGGGCCCTAGTCAGATGGAAAATTGCAACAATCTCTCCCAGGAGCAGTGTCCATGGCGTCCCCAGTGTCCCGTTCAGGCTCCCACCAGAGGGAAGAATGTCGGGGGTGAAGGGTGTTATGGAAGGAATTAACATAATGACTCAAAACTGCACTAATGTTTCACAGCTTTTTTTTTATTAGCAATACCAAGATAAGTTATTGAAGCATTTTAAGTATTATTTTTTTACATTCCATTCATAAATGACCTAACTTGTAACTCAGCATACAACACACTTAAAGATATAGTTTGACACTTATTCAGAATGCTACAATGATTATAACTCACATGCCATCGTTCCCAGGAACACCTTGACACGTCTTCTAATTACTTGAACAACACGCTAGTCCAAAGCGCACGATAACCCCCCGACAGGTTTACACAGTGTGCTTCTCCCATTGCCATTTTTTAAACCGCCATGTCAAGGTGGGGTTTTTATTGTCATCTGTTCCTGGTTAATAGAACGACCTGACACAATATTAAACTAGCAATATTTCTGCTTAAATACTATGGAGAAAGAGAATTACTGCACTTTTTCTGAATTCTTTAACGTGTTACAAAGTTCAGGACGACCAGACATGGGCGGGTTGCGGACGAGCCCACCCCTGGAAGCTCAGGAGAGCTGGTGGAACAGCCCCCGTCATCCCCCCGGCCAGGTTTTTCCACAGGTGAAGGGGCCAGTAACCCACCAGCACTTGTCACTAGGGACTTATGACTTTGAGGGAATGTTCTCTCCCGTTCAAGCTCCTAAGCCTCTACAATCCACGCCTAATAGAAGAACATATGGGGCAGTATGTTTAGCCTCCGATTCTCTGCTATATATACTGTGGGTTGGTGTGCCGTGTGTATACACATACCTATGCCAGCAGTAATTATTTATTCAACACACATATGTGTATACATTCTTCTCTTGACTTTACACGATTAACAAGCTGCAGGTAATCACCGAGGACCACGAACAGACAAGGGCAAGTCCAGATAGACCGACTAGGACGGGGGTATCACTTACCTGTAAGAAAATGTGCAGATTCATTAAACAATCCAGAAACCATTTGGGGGACAGGCATGGGAAGGCAAAGGGTAGGGCCACATCCCTTAATTGTTTAATGGAATAATGGCAATAAAGCAATATTTATGAAATTTGGTCCTTCTGTCTCTGGCTAAAGCAAGAATAGTCTGCCTGATTAGAGCAGGTTGGCAATTAGGCGGAGAGGTGCTGTTGAGCAGTGCTAAGTAATAGGAGATAATTACTACTTATTTGAAACCTGGGCCTTGCACACAACATCTGAAATTAAAAAAAAAAAAAGAAAGAAAGAAAGAAAAGAAAGAAGAAAAAAAAAACAACTTGATTCCTTTAGCAGCTAAGATGCGGCTTGTATTTGGGTGGCTGTCGGTTCAAACCACCACTCTGATTCAGCAGCTTAAGAAGGGAGATAGATGCCAAAGCTTAAACCGGGGTACCTGCACCCAGATGGAGACATCAGTGGGGTCACAGTCCCTATTTTAGACGGTGGTGGCTGGTCCTGCT